AAATATAGAATTTGCTAAGCATAGAGGACTAGTTATCACAATTCATCTTCATCCCGTTCATTCTTACCGCGTTCTCCCTATAGTCTCAAATCTCCCTATAATGAGCATCTCAATAGCTCCTCGAAGGAGCCGGAAAAGAAATACTTTTAGGCTACACGATGTCTTGACTATGCATCCCCTTTCTTTAGGCTTTAACTCATAATGCCCTCCTCGAAATTTGACTCAATCTCTAGGTCGAAAGGTCTTTCCCTAAGGTTGTAACGTAAAGGCAAAAGGTTAGGGGTAGGCTAAAATATCCAACCTTATATACCACAAACTCCAAAAACATGACCATTTTTGCTTCACAAAAACAAAAAATGGAACAAAAACAAAATAAAAGGCTCAAAATTCTAAAGACGTGGCTTGAATAGAAGGGAAAAGGCTCAAATGGTTAGGAAGAGGGAAAATGTTAACCCAAAGAACTAAAATAAAGAAGATTAAACCTAGAAAAAGAAAAATTACCACCCCGAGAAGATGCCTTTGTCCTCCCTAGATGGTTCGGTCTCGTATTTGAGAATTATGAGTCAAGATTCAAGATTAGGTCCAAAATAGTCAAGGATCCATGCCACTCATGCAAAATATGTAGATGGCTTGAAAAATGATGAATCTCACATGGATGTAGGAAAAACTCATTATAGGTGTCAAATCGACTATAAGAAGTAACTACCAACATGCCACAAACAAGTAGAATCCGGTTTCATGATCCTCCTAGTTCTAGAACATGCTACCTTAGCATAAACCTATCCTAGAGTCAACCAAGCATATTCTCAAACCGTGCATACCCATACCAATTAGGAAGACATTCATTCAAAAGAAAAAATCAGTTGTATATAGTCCAATTCAAAAGAAAAGCAAAAAGATGACAAATAAAGCCTCAAAACATACCAAAAACCACAAACAAAAAGAAAGAAAAAGAAAAGATAAGAAAAGAGAAAAGGAAAAACGTAGTTAAAGGAAAAGAAGGAAAATAAAGAATGGAACGAATATGCAAGTAAAGCATGTAATACCTAATCGATAAACAAGTGATCAAATGACAACATCGTCAATGATCCCAACCACTCTAGGTGTTAAAAGCATCCATCCTCGAACCATTAAACTTTTCCTAAAACTAATCCTAAACTATGCATCCAAGAAAATAAAAGAGAAATAAAGAAAAATAAGAAAGGTTTCACCGGATATTCCAAGCAATGAGAAAGAGTAAGAAAGAAAGCAAACGCAAACCGTCAGGATACTCCAAGAGCAATTGCAAGGAAAATAAACCAAGTTTGAAAAATAAAGCTATATACAGAAACAAAATTGTTAGTAACTTTTAAAAAAAATCAAACAACATCATAAATGACAGAAATGATCAGAGCAACAAAGATAGAGAATCAGAGAGCAGAGAGAAAAATCAGCCAATTAGAGAGCAATGACTGATCAGGAACACATAAATCAAGAAATAGATCGTCAATATATAATCAGCAGCAGAAATAAACAGACAGATAACAGAATTAAGAAACATCAGCAGAATTCTATCGCAGGGAACAGACAGCAGCATAAATCATTAGCAAAGAAAAACACCAAGTGTAAGATAAAGCCAAAGTGAACCAAAGAAGCAAGGGGGAGACAAAATAAGCGCAGCAGACAAAAGAATATTCCCCCAAGGTAAAAATGAGCTACCCCCCCAAGCTAAAACCAAGCTACAAGCTGGCAAAGATACAAAAGAAAATCACGCAAGCATAAAAAGGAAGGGTAGCTAATATGGTATCACTCGGCACTATGGTAAGGGGTAGAATGAGCACTCCCCTCACCAACATCACTAGAAACCTGGCTAGAAATATCATCCATGAGCATAGGACCCTTACCATTCAACCTCCTCGCCTTCTCGGCTCTATCCCTAGCAAAGAAGTGGTACCAATCATCAAGGACCGGCTCTCCCGATAACCCCCAACGACCAAAAGTCTCAAGAGAAGGAAAAGGGTTAGGGTTTGCCGGATCATAAGTGAAGTCACCTCCACCCGGCCTCTATACTCATAAGAGGTCGGGGTGGTCCCTGTAATAGCATGAGGAGGTACATTAGGCCCCTCCCAATAAGGGTAACACAAACTAGGGCCTACGGTCTCATCAAATGGCTCCCACTGAGGTATGGGTCCCTGTTGGACTGGTAGGTAAGGATAGTTTGTTAAGATATGGTTGGATATCCCCTCTCATAACATGGAAATCATAGACTTTTTAGCATGAAAGTCATAGGCTAATTCAAAATCGAACCCCAAAGGTGAAAAATTTAGAACATTCTCTATGGAATCAATTTTCGCATGCAAAAGAGACAAGTCAATAGTAGAAATAGTAGAAGGAGAGGGAGGAGTCGAAGATGTACCTCCCCGGGAAGATTTACCTTTCCGGGATGAAGATGGAGCAAAAGGAAGATAAGGATTATTCCGGAGGTTAGGCAATGGAGTTCTCTTGAGGGCTTGATTAATCGGGACTTTGTTAGGCCTCCATGGAAGAGGGGTGTCCACACATCTAACCATAGCCTCAGGATGAGGGATAGGGCACCCATCTGTAGTCCTTGTAATCTTCCAAATGTACAAATTTGCTTTGGTTGTGCGCACCAAAAAACGTTGATTAATCATGGCATAGATGCTTAAGAAATGGTAAAGAGCTTTCTCCCTTTTATCATGGATTGGAACAAGCGACTCGATCATTGCTTCATACTTCTTGTTAAGAGAAAGGATCAAAATGGTAATCATACCCCCCAATTGGATACTTCTAGAGAGATGGAAACCATCTCTTATATCAATGAAACGGTTAAGAAAATGCGAAGAGAAGTCGATGACTGCTATCCCCTCTTCAAATGGCTTATCCGCTAGCCATAACCAACTCAACTCCTCTCTACAAATAGCACCAAGGAATTCCTTGGAGAGGAAAGCATATGTGAGGAGTCGGCTAAAATACCTCAAGGCCGCATGAATAATCGACGCCGCCTTAGAATATTGAGGACTATATGAGTCCTCGACATAAATATGCCTCCACCACTTGAATTCACGTTAATTGTTATCACGTTGCAAAGTATCAAATACCTCATACACACGAGGGACATCGTCACTAGGAGTTTGAAACTTGAAAACCTCATCGAGATAGGAAAGAGGCACCGAATGATCATTGTTGAAAACTTGAAAAGAACTTCTTTTAGAAGTTTCACCTTCCAAATCCTCCTCAAGGACCTCAAGAGAAGAAAGAAAATCGAAAGTAATCCGAGAGTAAGTAGGAGCATGAAGGATTAGGAATTCCTCTAACCCAAAATTTCGAGCCAAATATCTCACATCATTGTCGATACTTAACAAAGTAGTCGCCGACGAATCATAGAATCTAGTAGAAAAGAGTGTCCGAGTTGAAAGCTTGGCTAATCTCTCCCAATGGCCTTCCTTTGTGAACTCAATTCCATAAGTCTCTGAAATGTGTAAAGTAGGAGGAACCACCTCCCTATAGGTAGAGCATCTAACTCTTTGGGATCGTCGCAGAGGAACCATTCTACACACAAAATTGAAAAATGCTCTAGTGAGTAAAGATTATGAGTCACAAGTATGCATCATGAGCAACAACACTCCAAAACATCATCAAAAACAAACTATGCACATTAACATTTCCAAATCAATATAATCATACTATAATTCCAACAAAGGTGGTGCCAAAATTATAGAATGTTCAAGCAAAATCATCAAATACAAGTTCATAATAATCACCGAAATTCCATCATTAACACAACAAATGAAGGAGATAGTAGGCAATATGCATACATATATGAGGCTATAACCAAATCAATCTAAACACTCATGAACAACCAAGGTAGAAAATTTATCATAAGTATCAATGGAAATGAAGAAATCATACCTTAGATTGATGAGAGTTTACAAAGAAAAGGAACACAAAGCACTAGCAGACACAATTATGCCAAATTGCAAGCAACAAGCCCCAACTCAATGGTGTACCCAAAAATCCCAACTTTATGAAAGAGAAAATCACAATGAAAGTGTAAGAGTAGGATTTAAGAGTAATAAACAACTAAATGAAGTGATAAATGGTGAAATTTCATTAGTAGAATGAAGGAAAATATTGATTATGCTTGAATAACCAACTAGAAATGAAATGAAAATAAAATATAAAAAAGAGAGAAGGTCGGTGCGTTGAAGGGGCATCAGCAGGGGGTGCGCGACCGCGCCACAAGGCTGCGCGGCCGCGCCCTTCCAGGTATGCTATCCTCTAAAACCCTTCTCGTGAGCACATCTGTAAGTACATGGGAAATGATCATGATAAAGGTGGAAGCAAGCAGTTTCTAAACTCCAAGAATGTGGGTTCAACACAAGATTTTTATGAGCCTACCATTTGAAACGACCAAATTTCAACTTTTAAGCATACTTCCAATTCACCAACTTGAGCACTCTCTCTTCAAAATAGGAACTAAAATGGTTGGAATTCCAATTAAACCCACCTAAAAACACAATCAAGAAAAGAAATCAAATAAGAATAAAAACAACAAAAAGAAAACAAAAATAAAGAAGAATAAAGAAAATGGTTAGAAACTCGGGTTGCCTCCCAAACAACGCTTGTTTAAATTCATTAGCTTGACATTCTCCACCCTTTAAGGTGGATAAAAAAGATTCATATCATGGACAACCCCCACAAAAAATCCATCATAGTAGCACTTGAGCCTATGACCATTGATTTTGAAAGTTTTTGAGAAATCTAAAGGAGATATTTCAACCGCACCATAAGGAAACACCTCTTGAACAACAAAAGGACCACTCCATAGAGATATTAGCTTTCCGGGAAATAATCTCATCTTAGAATTGTTAATGATGACCTTGTCACCAACGTTGAACTCCTTCTTCACAATTAGCTTATCATGCACTTCCTTAGTGCGAGTTTTGTACATGCTTGCACAATCATAAGCATACAATCAAAGTTCTTCCAACTCATGGAGATCAAGCCAACTGCTCACCCGCACTTGCCAAATCAAAATTGATTTTCTTTATATTCCAATGAGTACGGTGCTCAAGTTCGATCGGAAGATGACAAGACTTCCCATACACCAAACAGTAAGGAGTGCCAATAGGAGTTTTAAAAGCCGTTCTATATGCCCACAAGGCATCATCTAGATTATCTGACCAATCCTTCCTATTTCTTGCAACCGTCTTCTCAAGAATCAATTTGATTTGACGCTTAGACACTTCGACTTGCCCACTAGTTTGAGGATGACAGGGGAGCCCGAAACGTTGATTAACTCCATGTTTCTTCAACATCTTGCGGAAGGCGCTATGCACAAAATGAGATCCATTATCACTAATAAATGCCTTTGGGATGCCAAACCGTGGGAATATTATCTTCTTGAACATCTTCATTGCTACCTTATGGTCATTTGTAGGTGAGGCAGTAGCTTTCACCCATTTTTACACATAATTGACGGCAACAAGGATATATTGATTCCCATATGAAGTACGAAAAGGACCTATGAAGTCTATTCCCCATACATAAAAAATCTCCAACTCTAGAATGGGTTGTTGAGGCATTTGGTTTCTCTTTGAAATGTTTTTGGTCCTTTGACATCGGTCACAACTCTTGAAAAACTCCCAAACATTCTTGAAGAGATTTCGCCACCATAGTCCGCATTGAAGCACCTTCGAAGCCGTTTTTGAGACACCCATGTGACCTCCACTCGGATCCGAGTGATACATCTTCAACACACTAGGCAACTCTTTATTTGGAACACATCTCCTCAATAACCCATCAACACTCATTTTATAAAAAATCGGTTCATCCCAAACATATTGCCTAGCCTGCCTTTTGAGCTTCTTTCTTCGATTCTTGGAAAATGAAGGAGGAAATTCCCTACAAGCAAGATAGTTCACCAAATCGGAAAACCATGGGAGTTCCTTCACATCTATAGCATACAAAGAATCTTCCAACATTCTATCTTCAATGGGAGACCCATCATCTTGAATTTGAAAATCCTCAAGCCTAGATAGATGATCCGCTACCACATTCTCCGCTCCTTTCTTATCTCTAATCCTCAAGGTCAAAAGTTTGAAGCTCTAACACCCAACGAATTAGTTTTGGCTTTGATTCCTTCTTCCAAAAAAGGTGTTTTAAGACCGCATAATCGGTGAACACAATTATTTTGGACCCCAACAAATAGCAACGAAATTTTTCGAAGGAATGAACAATAGCCAAGAACTTCTTCTCCGTTGTAGTGTAATTCTGTTGAGCTCCATTTAGATTCTTGGACATATAATAAATCACATGAAGTTTTTAATCGACTCTTTGACCTAAAACTCCTCCAATAGCCGTATCACTTGGAGCTTGAACAATTAAAGTGGAGATTAGAGCTTTCTTTAACTTATTGAATGCCTCAAAACACTTGTCATCGAATACAAACTCGGTATCCTTTTGAAGAAGATCATTGAGGGGCTTTGCAATAAGTGAAAAATCTTTAATGAATCTTCTGTAGAACCTGGCATGGCCCAAAAATGATCTCACACCTTTCACATTGACAGGAGGTGGCAACTTTTTGATAACCTCAATCTCTGCCTTGTCAACCTCTATGCCCTTGTGGGAAATTTTGTGCCCAATGACTATTCCTTCTTCAACCATGAAATGGTTTTTTCCCAATTCAACACAAAGTTCACTTTCTCACATCTTGCCAAACACTTTTCAAGATTTTCGAGACATGCTTCAAAGGGAACTCCACTACGGAAAAATTATCCATAAACACCTCCATCTCCTCCTCCAACATGTCTCCAAAGATACTCATCATACACCGTTGGAAAGTGGTGGGAGCATTGCAAAGGCCAAATGGCATTCTCCTATAACCAAAAGTACCATATGGACAAGTAAAATTAGTTTTTTCTTGGTCATCGGGATGAATAGGAATTTGGAAATATCCCGAGTAACCATCAAGGAAACAATAGTACTTGTGCCTCGTTAGTCTTTCAAGCATTTGATCAATGAAAGGAAGGGGGAAATGATATTTCTTAGTGGATGTGTTTAGACGTCTATAGTCTATACACATTCACCAATCGGTGACCGTCCTTGTTGGAATAAGCTCACCTTTTTCATTCTTGACGACGGTCATGCCTCCCTTCCTTGGAACGACATGAACGGGTGAGACCCATTTAGAGCTTTATATGGGGAATATGATCCCCGCATCTTGAAGCTTAGTAATCTCTTTCTTTACTACCTCCCCCATTTTGGGATGTAATTTCCGTTGTCGTTCTATAGAAGGAAGGAAACCTTCCTCAAGGGTTATGTGGTGTGTACATAAAGCGGGGCTTATACCTTTGAGGTCATCAATGGTATAACCCAAAGCACCTTGGTGCTTTCTCAAAACACCACATAACGCTTGAGCTTGGCTTTTACTCAAAGATGCGGTAACAAACACGGGGTAAGTAGAATTTGAGCCTAAAAATTCATACCTTAGGTGTGATGGTAAAGGTTTAAGCTCTACCATAGGAACACCTTTACCTTCCCTGATTGAAGTCGCTTGTAAAGCCTCTTGGCTTGAAATTTTCATGCAAATTTGCTCATCACTTCCCTCAACGCTTCCATCCAACAAACTCTCATATAAAGCAATGTCCTTGCTAGGAGCACCTATCTTTTTCTTGTTCAACAAAACACACTCAAGTGGATCATTAGTTGTGAGCAAGTGCTCATGCATTGAATGTACAAGATTATCTAAGATTTCAACTCTCATGCAATTCTCAAGAGATGAAGAAGGATATTTTATAATTTCATTCAAATCAAATTCAACTCCCTCTTCTTCAGTTTTAAATGAAAACTTATCACTTTTGACATCAGTCAAAGCACCCAAAGTAGCAAGAAATGGTCTACCAAGAATAATAGGAATTGTAGAATCCTCTTCTATGTCAAGGACCACAAAATGAACCGGAATGATGAACTTTCTTACCTTTAAGGGAACATCCTCTACCTTTCCCCTTGGGATCCTAATTGATCTATCGGCTAATTGCAAGGTAATGACGGTAGGTAAAAGTTCTCCCTTCTCTAGTCTTTGATATACCGAGTATGTCATAATGCTAACACTAGCTCCTAAATAACACAAGGCATTATCAGTCTGCATTTTATAAATAGCACAAGGGATAGAAAAGTTTCCGGGATCCTTAAAATTAGGTGGAATTTTGTTCATTATGATTGCACTACAATTCTCGGTCAAGTTAACCGATTTCGCCACATCACAAGTTCTTTTTCCACTCAAAATATCCTTAAGGAACTTTGCATAATTTTGCATTTGTTCTATCACATCAGTAAAAGGAATAGTGAGATGAAGTTGTCTAAGAATCTCTATAAATTTCCCAAATTGCTCGTCTAGCTTGTGCCTATTAAAATTTTTGGGGTAAGGGAGCTTAGGTTTGTAAACTTCTCTTTCTCTTTATTTCACCTTCTCGACTTGTTCCTTATTGACTTCCTCAACTAAAGTATTCTCCTCTCCATCATTCTCAATTTGGCCATTTCTAGAAATATCTTCATTATCACTATTCTTAGAGATTTCAATCTTAAGGACCCTACCACTTCTAGTCACAATAGCATTCATAAGGCTCTTAAGATCTAAAATTTGTGAAGACAAAGAAGAAAGATTCGTAAATTCCTTAAACTCATTAGCGAATTAAGAAATTTGGTTCTCTATCCCCTTATGGCAAGCTAACATGTCATTGAATTTCTCATTGCTTAGGGTCATGTAGGTGTCCAACAATTTAGCTTGATTCTCTATGACACTTTCCAAGAAACTCCTAGAGGAAAATGATTGATCATACAAATTATCACTATATATGCTCTTGGGTATCTGCAACAAATCCAAGTGGGAATCTCTTTGACCATTCGATTGGAAATTTCCTCTACTTTGATTGTTCCAATTACCTCTACATTGATTTTGGCCACTATCGTTATTATGGTTACCATAACCTTGGTTATAGTCACCATATCCTTGGCCATGACTTTGAACATTATAAATATAGTTGTTATAGCTACCACAATTCCCTTGGATTCTGTTTCGGGGTTTTCTGATGTCCTGCGGGAGAGTTACAATTCCGAGACTGGAACCGGACGCCTGTACCTGCAAAACAACGGAGACTCCTGGTGGTGGGAGCTCCGCCTCCGACAGTCAAGTTAGTACTTGATTAAGGAGTAATTAATGCGGAAATTAAAGTGATTGAGTCTCTCTAGGTGAGAGTGTTTAATGTGTGTAATCTGCGTTTTTAGCGTGTTCTCTCTCTTAATGAGGATTAAGGGAGGTATTTATAACCTAGGTTTAGGTTAACCTAGGGCTGATTGGACTTCCCTCGGAAGTTGGGCCTGGGTGGCCGGTTTCTCCATTAGGCATGGAGTATGCCACGTGTCATGACATAATAGGTCCAAGGTGGACGAATAAGCGTGTGCCACGTGGCAAGCCCTGACAGTTCCAACTGGGGGACACTTGGCAGGACCTGATTGGCCCACGTGGCGCATTCCGATTGGTGGGAGCAAAATCCCCTAATCAGATTCCATGGTTTCTATAACCTCCATTTTTGTTATAATTGTCATAGTTCATTTGATTGTGATAATTCCTATTTCCAACATTCCTTTGAGCATCAAATCTAGGCCCAACATTGTTATTAGCAACTAAGTTCACATGTTCATTCTCAATCCCAACATATTCATTACAAGGCACATTAGGGCAAAAAAAAGCATCATGGTCATTCATTCCACACAAATCACAAAACCAACATTCTCTAATCATGCAACAAGAAGAAGGAAGAAAGTTAGAGGAAGGAGTACCTCTCCTCTTAATTTGGCAGGGAAGAATTGGTGCTTGTGAGGTCGCTCTCTCGAGCTTATACTTGGTAGAAACTATCTCCTTTCCTAGATTCGAAATTTTAGTCGACAAATTGTTGATAGCATTGAGTTGTTCCATTGAGGATCCCATTGTACTACTCTTGTTTATCGACTTCTTCTCACCATCTTCCCATTCCATGTAGTTTCTAACTACATCCTCAATGATACCTACAATCTCTTCCTCGGTCTTATTCATGATTAGGCCTCCGGCTCCGGCATCTAGACTTGCTCTCCCTTGAGGACTCAAACCGCCATACAAAATTTGAATTATTAGGTAAGTGGAGATTCCATGGTGAGGACACTCACGCTGGTATTCTTTGTATCTCTCCCATGCTTCATAAAGACTTTCACTAGACTTTTGCTTGAAACCTTGAATCAAAGCTCTTGCCTCCGCCGTTTTATTTTGAGTTAAGAGACGGGAAAGGAATTCTTTGTTGAATTCATCCCAAGTTCTCAAAGAATTTGGCTTCACTTCCTTATCTAGCCACTCTTGAGCTCTTCCAATAAGAGAAAAAGGAAA